CACACACACACACACACACACACACACATATATATATAAAATATAATTAAACTTCATCTTTCCTCCCTGTGAAATGGCTAGACACAAATCTCTTTGGCTGGGAATTTCAAAAGGGCTTAATGGAGTTAACTGCCTGGTTCAGCAGGATTTGTATATCTAACCCAACACTAACCTTTGTCTCCATCTTATGAAAAGTAATTTGCTAGCCAAAAAATGAAATATACATTGTTCCCACATATATGTAATGCAATATATATTGATCACTTGTTATACATATGTAACACGTGATCCTGGCAGTCTTCTCTTGCTACTGATATCTCAGTGACATATCCCTGACATTTCTTGAGGTCATGGGTTTTCTTGTTAGTAGTAGTATTCTGTGCAAGACCAACAAGCTGAGAGTTGCCTCCCAGCCTTTTCAGTGACCATGCAGCCTCTTTCCCATACAGTCCTTTCCACAATGTCCTTGGACCCTGGAAGTTACCTTGCACTACCCTCTGCTAAAACCTGTTACGAAGCCTCCCAACATCTTGGGAGCTATGAGGATTATTTTGATAAGTGTGAGAGGTTGGAGTAAGCCAAGCAAGTCCAGCAGATGTTCTGAACTGCAATCATAACAGTCTTAAAGGAGACAAAAACCTTTCTTGGACCTTCTCAACACCTCTTTCCTCCCAGAAAGCAACTCTTTGGCAAATATCCCACAAGGATGGATGCCTGCTGTGAGTTTTCCTTCATAGGAAGGGGCCTTTCCAAACAGGTATTTTTACATAAAATCCAAAATTTAAGGACTGGCTTCAGGGTACAGGTTGGAAAAAAGGTGGTCTTCAATGGCATCTGAATCATAAGGGCATAATCCTTCTGCAGAAATTGGCTATCCTACCCCTTTCTGTCATGGGATATGATCCATAAAAGCTTGCAAACCACTGATGTAAGGAGAAGAAATATAAAGGATGGTCTGTTTTTAAAGACTTTATTGAGTGAGTGACAAAGGACCTAAGAGGAGTAGATCCAATCAACTTAGGGCAACAGGGACCTTTGATGTGGGGCTGTTCTTGGAGGCCAGCACAGGGGGAACAAGGAAACCACATGTGACTTTGCCCAATAGACATTGTGCAGGGACAGGAAAAAACAGCCAAAAGGTCTTAAGAAGCCGATTCATATGCAGACCTCTGTACTAACAATGTCTGCTGACTAACAGCTCCTTATGAGCCAGCGCAACTGGTGAGCTTGCTTCATTCACATGGAAACAGATTCCAGTTGTTCTGTGGAGGGAGCACAAGAGGGACGTAAGGGTTGTGAATATTATGGAGTACAAATGCTAAGGATATTTTTCCTTTCCTGATTTTATATTGCCAGTACCTTCCATGGTTCAGGTTAGTCCAGAGCAGTGCATACCTCTGTAGAGAAGTGACTGTCCTCACTTTTTAGCAAATTATTTACTAATTCCCCAGTCTACCACTCCAGAAAGCTCTTCATTAGTAATGTTGTTCAAGGGAGCTGGAGAGCTGTGCCCCTGTTTTGCTACCTAGATGGTCCTGCTTGTTCATTTCCAAAGCTGGCAGATCAGGCACTGCGTGAATGAAGCATAAAGTTCTGGGAACAACCAAATATTAGCATAGCAAAAACCCTAGAGCCAGGAAAACCACTTTCCACATCAGCAGCAGGAAGGCACCATGGTGGCTTACAGCCAAGTCATAGGAAAAGAGCAATGGGAAACCTGGCCCAAGGCATGGATCTCACAAGGCTTTCACAGGGAGCAGCTCTGGCAAATAAGTAGGTAGCTCAGAAAGAGTGACTGGACAAGATCAAAGGACACTGATCACCTAGAGAACGGTTTTTCATTCACCTGTAAGGTGAGGCTGTCCCCCAGGAGAGATAGTCGGTGGGTCTTGGAGATGGACGCGGTACGATGGGCTGCTCCACAGCAGTCAAGTCCCCCGAGTAGGTTTTGAGAAGGGAAGCATTCTTGTTGGCCAGCAAGGCTCTCTCGTTCCTGCGGAACTTTGCTCTTCGGTTCTGAAACCACACCTAGGAGGGGAAAAGTACAAACCAGCCCCAGGTGACTACCTGCTCCACTGATGTACTGTTGCTCTTCCTGCATCAATTGGCAGTGGAGGGGCCCTAGGAATCATAGCATAACATTGAAGGGCATGATGGCAGCACTGACAGCCAGGATCATTTTGCGAGTAAAAGGTGGCCAGATACACGGTGCTTGCAGAAAGCAGAGGAAGACAAAATGAGTCTGATTTACCAGGGGTCATTAATATAGAACAGTCCAGCCAGGCTCACATAGTGGGATCAAAGCACAGCTTAGAACAGAAAGACCCAAAGCTCTTCAAAGGGTGATAACTACATCCGGGTTCTTCATTTCTCCAAAAGACTCACTCACACAGCACTCCTGCACTTAGGAACCTGCACAGGAAACTGAAGGGTGATTGAACTCCTCAGAAGAAATGTCCCTCTCTACAGGGGTTCCCTTTACACCTGAGCTGCTAATACTTCTAGCTAACCAAAATGAAAAAGAAATGAAAGGTCAAATGTTATCAACGTGGGGCCCTCAGAGAAGCTGCTCACTGGTTGGATCCCTCTTGCTTCCAGGATACCTCAGAGGGATAGTGGGAACTTCATATTTCTTGCCCAATGCCAGTGCAGCAAAGATCTTCTTCTCAGAGAGGATGCAGGAGGCCTGCCCCATCTTTCAGAACAGCAGGGACCCTTCATTTCTGCAGGACAGGGATTTAGGGAAAGCTGATGCTTGCCTGTTGGACATACCCATGTGCATGTGTACCCAGAGGTTCTCTCAAGTACCCATGTGTATCTGCCATAAGTGCCCTCCCCACATACATGCACACATACTTAAGTGCGTGTACACACTCAGCAGTCAAAACATAGCAGCCAATGCATCACAACATACATGTGTGTATATGCATGCACACATCTGAACACATGTACATGCATAGACACAAGTGTTTAGCCACATGCTCATGCATGTACACTCACACACATTATCAGGGGCACATGCATGTGCATGCTTACACACACAGAGCTTCTTTTTTGATCCCAATAATCATCAGCATAAAAAAGTTGATTTCATTCATTTCTTTGTGCATCTGATTCTTGTACCTTCAGGCTTAAGCCACTCAAAGGCTCTAACCTCTTTCATCCCCAGATCTTTGGGGGAAGCTCTACTTTACACAGATTACAAATGTACAAAGAGAATATTTATACCATTTCATATGATGGTAACTGATATAGTGGTTCGAGAAGTAGACCGTGCCTTGGAATACCATTCTACTCCTGAATAGTCATTGAACTGAAGGGCAGATCCATTCCAGTAAAAGAAAATCTAATGCCAATGACCAAAAGCTCAGGCAGAACTCAAGCTGCCTGCCCCTCATAATGGTGAGGTAATCTGATTCCTTGTAATTTTCAATTTGATGCAGTGTTGTGTTCCCAGCCTCTGGCAAGGATCAGAGACATTCCAAGAGAAAGCTTACTCGCATGGTGTTTCCAGCCTCAGTAGAAGCTAGAAGCATTGGCAGTCCCATGAGGAAGCTTCTTTCTCTCCATTGCCTTCCCAGTTCTGAAATACCTTGAAGTTTAAATAAAGCGAAGAGGATCCTTGGTCCCTATACAGATTATCTGTAGCACAGTGGAAATGTACTGGGTGGCAGATGGCTGACATAAAGGCCAAGTATGGACTTTCAAAACCCCCAAGGCAGAACTGATCTAAATTATGCAGTTTTCTGTAAGCAGTGTAGTTTAGTTCGGTAGCAAACAGAACACACGTTCACCCTTTGGTGGGACAGGGGAGCAAATCTTAGGCCAGGTGCTGCCATTTTTAAATGAGGCTATTTGTGCTGAACTTCTGTTCTGTTATGGGTATAGATGGTTTCTGATCTCTTATACCAGTAAAAGTGTAATATCTGTACCTGGCCAAACAGCTCGCACTCTCCCAAGAGGCCTCAACACATACCTAAGAGCAGCGCTATGCTCCCTAACAACATAACCGTTCCCAATGAGTCAGTTATCTCTGTAACAAGGCAAAACTGTCCTGAGACTGCTCAAATATAGCTAAGGCCAAGACAAACCTCCTACCTAGAGCCTCTAAGGTAACCTTCACCACTTACCATCCCCCTCATCATAATCAAGAACCTTGTTCCCTTCCCACAAAAGCAGCATATGTTTGCCACATTCATTAAATAGCTGTGTAATGTCTCATTAGGGCTCTCGGCATCCAGTGCATAGCTCATAAAGCTCGCTTTGGAGAAGGCTTCTTGACTTGGAAACTTGCCTGTAACATAAATCTGATTACAAAAGTGGACACCATCTCCAAACCCCTATGACCTTTTTCTAATGTCTAAGGCAAATATGGTTTGCAACATGTTTCCTTTATGGAACATTCCACAAAGCTTAGTCGGGAGCTCTCTCCCTGCTATAGGATTCCATCGGCTCGCTAGAAAGCTCTCGCTCTGCCAGGATATTAACTCGCTATTAATTCTCTTGATTTTGGGAGGATAGACTACAAACTTCCTGGCGGAAGAATGTTCAAGAGCATGTAAGTGTATTAGGAGCCCAAGTCTCATTTTCAAAAGTAACTTAGGCTTTAGGAATTAGAGTCCCATTGACTTTCGGTGAGATTTAGGCTCCTCATTGCTAAGGGTATGTTTGCACCATGGTGACTGTTTTCCCATGCAGACATCTCAGCTAAGGCGTAGTCTACACTAGTGTTTCGCCAGTATAACCAACTTTAAACAAGTCTGTGAAGACAGAAGACTCCTTTCTGATGTCCACATTACACCACGCCTGCTGAACAGAGAAGAGCTTCTGCTGCCATCCAGCAGTCATCCAATGGTGTGTGTGGACTCTGCAGCCTCTTCTGTTGGCTGTCATGGTCCCTTCAGCAGCTGGTGACTTCCCTGGATGTACTACACACCCTTCAAACATCTGCTGTAGTAGAGCTGCCAAAAGCTCATGAGTACATATATATTCTGACAGCTGAGCAGCAGCAGCTGCTCTCTGCTGCACAAACTTCTGGTGGCAGAGGCAGAAATTGTGGACAAGGTCTGCCTTTAAACT